TTTTTTTTTTTTTTTTTTTTCGTTGAAAAAATCACTTTGACGCCACGTTAGATTACTTTTTAAAAGATGGAAAAGTCATACCTGAAACGAGATTTCATCCGGCGCCTGAGCTACGTAAGGTCTAACAGCATAAGCCGCGGCTACTGCAGGAGTATTAATGGGGCATGAATCTGACTCTGGGACGAGGATTCTTCTTCCCCTATTGTCTAGCTGCAACCAATTTAACACAGGACCGCAATTTAGGCCTTCATGATTTAACTGGGAGAACCTGTTCAAATAGTCCCTCAGTATATCACAGGTGTTTTTTGGCCGTGTATCTGGAAGCTTGGTTAAGGAAGAGAACTTCCTGTCGAATATGCACCGATGCAATTGCTTGTCGAACATAACAAAATTATCGTATGATCGCTGCAACGTCCAGCATGCGTCCCCGGATGTTACTCTGACCGCGTAGCTGTCTGAATCATTGGTACCCTCGCTAAGCGAAACCTGGAAAATCGACACGTACGATTTTTATTTTTTTTCTTTTTTTCTAACAGAATTATTTTTTCTTTCGTAGGAAACATTTCGTAATGAATATTAGGAAGATTTTCGAAAAAAAATTTTTGAAATAAACATTAGAAAGATTTTCGAAAAAAAATCTTCGAAATGAACATTAGAAAGATTTTCGAAAAAAATTTTTGAAATGAACATTAGAAAGATTTTCGAAAAAAAATTTTTGAAATAAACATTAGGAAGATTTTCGAAAAAAAATCTTCGTAATGAACATTAGAAAGATTTTCGAAAAAAAATCTTCGTAATGAACATTAAAAAGATTTTTAAAAAAAAAATCTTCGAAATGAATATTAGAAAAATTTTCGAAAAAAAATCTTCGAAATGAACATTAGAAAGATTTTCGAAAAAAAATCTTTGAAATAAACATTAGGAAGATTTTCGAAAAAAAATTCTTGTGATCGTAAGGGTTAAAAAGATTGTAAAAAATAAGAAGAGGAAGAAAGTTAAGAAAGATTAAAAAAAAAAAAAGGGAGATGATTTAAAATAATGGCAAAAGAAACGATATTGTAATTAAGAAAAGAAAGTATTTAGGTTTACAGTATTTCTTTTTTAATTGTTGTATGTAAGATGATAATTATTAAGACGAGGTTAAAAATAGTTTAAAATCGTTTGAATGTAACTGACCTCCAAAGAACTGAGTTCAACATGTTCGTAATGAAAGTGGGCACACTCGTCCAATTTTGGAAACCTTGCTATACTGCTCATGTTGCTGCCAGAGCTGATTGGTGTACTGAAATCGTCCGTTCGATTACATCCTAATCCCTGCGTTCAATAAAAATTGTTACGATTTTTCTATCAATTTTATCACAAATCAAACCGTGTCTTTGACAACACGTTGAAGATTAATAATTACGATCAAGCAGAATAATAATTTGAGTAATATTAATAATATAAAAAATGTTTCTCAAAATTTCTTATTAAAAAAATAACATCTATCTATTTACTCTATTCTCAATCCAATCAATGTACCATCTATGAAAACATTTATAAAAGTAGCGTAAATCCATTCTTAAAATATACGAATATTTTAAAGAAAATAAATTGTAAAATTTTATATAAATTATTTTTATATTCAATTTTTTTATAAAAATGTATTTACACCACTTTCATAATAATACGTGTAAGAAATATAAAAAGAAATTTTTAAATATAAAATCTCATTGAAATATTTCTCGTATTAAACGTTTCGCATCGACGTGCGATGTATAAATAATTATATTTTTAACGCGATCTTACGTACGAGAGAGAACGTTCTAAATTTAAAAGAACGCGAAACGAGATTCGTTGCCAAAGCGGTGGCAAAATATTATCTTAGGATAATGTCAAAAATAATATGCTGTTGCTAGAGAGAAATGAGAACCGTGAAACAGTGTTATGTTCGAATAAACTTATTATGTAAGTATGTACGAACGGTTTAAACGGGTTTCGCTGCATCGCGTTTAACGTTAGCAGAAGAATATGAAGGCAGTCTGTGAAGGCAATTGAAGGAAGACGGTTGAAGATGAATCATCGTAACGTCGAGAAGTTAACTAACGAGGGGAGAGGACCGACATCGGGTGATCTCGTTCAAATTTTTGTCCAAGGAATGGAACGCTTCGTAATAAATTAGGTTTAAATGCTCGTGTAGCGTTTATCGTTTTGATGAAATCATCGTTCAGGGTGTGTCCTAAGTAGACGCCAAATTTGGCCCAAATCGATAAACCGAGTATGGCACACTGTCCTTCTAAGTGACAAACTTGCGTATATAATATCAATGTTCTCGATGTTCGAGTTTCTTGGTGAAGATTTTGAATTTTTTTCTACTCTTACGTAGTTTTTTTTTTTAATTTTAAAATTGTTCAACTTCTACGATTCTTAATCTTTCGATTCTTTCGAGTTTCGAACGTTAAAAATTCGTAAATTTTTTTCGCTTTTATCGTCGAAATATTTCGTTTTAAAATGTTCAAACTCGTCGACAATATGATGGTACTTTTTTTTAACCGGTTACGAGTTTAACGGTTAGACGCAATTAACGCGATCATTGTATAGAATTTGCCTTGAAAAACAGGTCAGAAGGTTCCACGTTCTTAAACGTTTAATTACAACGAAAGTTTCAAGTAATTTTAACGTCGAAAAGATATCGTTCCTCCCAAGAAATATTTAACTTCCGCCGTATCTTACTGCCGTATCGTATTAGATTTCCAATTCCACAAATTCCAACTTCTTAAGTAATATCGCTTCGATGAAATCAATCTTAAAATAGTTCAATAAAATTAATCAAATCTTAAGAAGTTTAAATGCGTCATTTATGACATGATCAAGTCAGATATATATATATATATATACAGCTTTCGAAAGATTAAAAAAAAAAAAAAAAAAAAGAATCGGAAGTCAGTCCAGTCTTTCAGCTTGGTACAAGGGACTTCCTCTTTAACCGTTGAGAGAAGCAATAGAGTAGGCTTTCAATTATAAGAGCACTGATCAATTATTTCGTTTGTCCAACGAACTTACATCTCGTTGCTGACTAACATCCTGACCTACGAATACATACATTAAAGTGTTTATTCCCTTTAACAATATTCTTCTGTCTGTCCGTTAAAAATTTTGTATTATTACTTGACAAAAAAATTATTCAATCGAAATACGTTTTGTAATCGCAAAATAATTTTCCCCTTGATCGGAAAGATTTTTCAAAAAATTACTTTAACATAATATCCACGAATATCCTTTCGCAAATCGATCGAAAATGCTCCACATTTTCGACGTCGAATAAGAGATAAAAGAGGTTGAGAAAATCCTTGGCAATAAGAGATAAAAAACTGTACACTTTTATCCCAACCAAACCTTTCCTCTTTTTTTCTCCCCCCACTCCTCCCTCCCTCTTCCCGCAAATGGAATACAAGTATCCGTGTCGCGAAGCACGCGGCTCGTGCACTTGAACAGTTTCAGAAGGAGGGAAAGAGATCGCGGAGAGTATCGACGAACGAGTGCAACTTGTCTTATTTGGGTCATTGTATTTTTTGGCAACGTCGAGGCAAACATCAAACCTCTTCTCTATATACGTATAAGCGAGCACTGTTCTTCTCTACTCGTCCCTTCCCTGGGAAGGCTGGCAATCGCTCGGAAACGATCGTTCCGCGCTGCCTCCTCCTTTACGCTTCTTTAAACCCGATCTCGTTGCCAATCCGACTTCGAGCCTCGTTCGTAAATCTATGTAATTGGGAACGGTTACGCTCATCCTCCGATCCATCTATCGTCGTCTATCGATACCGTCTCGCATTTCCTCTCATATTCCTTCTCTCGTTCCTTCGCCTCGAAATAATTTAATTTAATTAAATATAATTATATAATTAAATACCGTTGATCACGAAAATTATATATTATTGATATACGATAAAAAAATATATCTTCTCGTATCAATCCATTTTTATCATTTTAAATACGAGGATTTATATAGATAATAATAATATAGGGATATAGAGAGGGAAAAGAAAAG